GATGGTCTGCTGATCGGTCTGTTCTTTCTGGGAAACATTTGCTTTTTGGTGGCACTTTTGGTTGGAATTGGGGTGAAATAAGAGCCTCAAAAGAAATGTCTGAAGAATTTTTTTTCTTTTGGTATTTTATCCAAATACACCTGATGGGAGATTGTTTTCTCTTTCAGTACAGTCTTCCTTGTTTTGTTTTTTTAGTGGATGTTTTTCTTCGATATTTTTCTTAAGCTTTCAGTTTCATGGCTAAACTTAAGTTCAGTTACTGAAGTAAATTGGCAATCAGCATTTAATCAAACTCCATTTGGTCAGAACTGATCGTCCATTATAGAGTGCAATGATGTTTTTCCACGAGCATTATAAAACTTTTTAGTTGTTGATATTTAGGAATCCTCGTTCCTGTTAGAGGTAAAGAGCTGATTTCTGTCATCCAATGTTTTCTTGTATTGTGTTGTTAAGTCTTTGTTTCCTGTTATGTTGCTTCCTGTTTTATTTTGTGAGTCTCTTATGTTTTGTCCTTGGTAAGTTTAAGGTGTGCTTCATACACCCATGTGTTACTAATGCATGTATAGTCTTAGATTCTCTTTGTCATTGTGTTGGCTTTGGACTTTGACATGCTAATAAAAGGTCATTTTATGAGTTTTACCTTAAGCCTGTCTCTGACTGCTGCTGTATTAAGTCCTGTGTCTTCCTCAGCCTTTGATAAATATAAAGTAATGAAATTTTCTGCAGGCAAGCCAATTTAGCTACCTAACCCCCCCCCCAAAAAAAAGGCATTTGATTTAAAAAAAAAAAAGTGTAAAAAGTTATTTTACACAATGTCAAAGCTCAGAACCCTGAGCACAACAAAGGTTTGTTTTAAAAAAGGTTGGACATCAAAATGTTGTGAAAAAAGGACCAACGTGCTGCTGGAAAAAGAATAAAATGGGTGGTAGACAAAGAGCATGGCTGAAGTTTGTGGTGTTGAGGGTGAAGAGGAAGGGGGAGAGAACAATCCAGGACACCAGAGAAGCATCCACCTGCATCGCTGTTAGCTTATCACCAAGCATTGGAAAAGTAAAAAAACATGACCCTCGCAGTGCTCGCCGGCTGGTCCAGGTGGATGTAGACACGATTGAGCAGATAGATGATGGCGTCCTGTGAGACGGCTGGTAAGCAAATTGAAGGGGATCCTGATGTGGTCTGACAATGGGTCGCAGCTGGTCCAGGACGAGCCTTTCCAGGGTCTTCATGATGTGGGAGGTCAGTGTCACAGGCCTGTAATCCTGGGGGCCACTGGGATGTGGCGTCTTTGGTACAGGGACGAGGCTTGATGTCTCTTCAGACTCAGCATGAACAGTTTATGGAAGACTCCACAAAGCTGGGGGGCACAGGCCTCGAGGACGCGGGGACTCCATCTGGTCCAGCAGACTTGCCTGAGTGGAGTTTCCTCATTTGCATCTGAACACGGTAAGCATTTAACACTACTACACTGACATACATAGATTTTCAATTTAATGAAGTTAAAAAATTGTTGTCTTGTTGTCAGTTGTTATTGACAGCAAGATCATTAGAAATATATGAAAAAATGTAACATCTTTACTGCCAGTGAACAAAACATATTTGAATTTGAACATTTTGTCTGTAATTGAATACACCTGGCACACATTCTACAAGAACTGCACTCCTTTCCAGAGTTAGCCCAGTGAACATCTTTATCTGTAATTAATGCTTTGAAATAGAACCTTTGAATGAGAGAGGAGAGTTGGCAGGCAGATGAGGTTCCTGAGGTCAGGCTAACTGAAGCTAGAACACAGGGATATCAAAGGTAAGCAGAAGGCAGTCTGCGTATAATATTACTGTAAATGTTTTGCTGAAAGTGAGTGGAAGAAGCAAAGAATAGAATAAACCTTTATTATACCAGAAAAGAGAAATGTGGGTGTTACACAGCTCTTATGGCAATGGGAACAAATACAAAGGCAGGCATTGTTAAACATTAAACAGCCGTGGCAGCCTGGGAACATGTATGTAGAGACGCTTCAAAGAAGATGTGACAAGCACACAGAGCTTTAGACACATTGACAAAAGAAAACAACAGACTGAAAAATGAAATGGAAGATTAATATAGAAGTAAGCAATATATATTATAATATATAGCAATTTGTGGACTGAAATTGTTTTAGTGGGGTTACCTGACAAATTTGTAATGTGGGAGGAAATTTTATTCACTTTGTTAATTACCCCATTTTTATTTAAATCTGTGTTCTTTATTTATTTCAACTTCAAAGAGTTTTCTCTCAAATTTCTGCTAAAATATATAAATCTGAGAGAAATAATTTAAAAGGATTTGCAGAAAGCAGCTATAATGCTGTAGCTATAATATCTGTTGCATGTTTCCTTTATGAACCCATTACTAGCTGAGGTTAAAGGAATACTCCCAGGGTTCTGAGACAAGAAACCTGAGGTTGTTCAGATTTCTTTCAATCAGTGAAGAATAAGTGGTCTGATTGGGGACAGAGAAATGTGACCGTGCAGTTCTAATAATTGAAAATAATACAGTTTTAAAATAGGAACGCATAAATGTCCGTGTGACACATTCAGTTCTATTTCGCTCTAAATTCAGGCAAATGTTAAAGAGATGCTTGTTTGTCCAGGCTTTATGCCTGTTACACAATCTGTTCACAAACAGAGGCTTAAGGGAGAACCACAGGTGTGTCTTTGTTTTCATGTGATGTTAGTCCTGAATGCTGAGGGATAAGTCTATGTAAGTGGTACTTAAAGGTACAAAGCAAGTCTGAAGGTTGGTATCACTCACAATAATAATGTATACTTTATTGATCCCCATGGGGAAATTACTCTCTGGTTTTGAGGCCATTGAAGTCTTGAGAGCTTAAAAAGAAGGCAACTTTTTTAGGTTTTTATAGAAATTTTGCGTCTCACTCAAGAGGCTTCATTTAAAAAAAAAAAAAAAAACTGGTGGGGAGTTGCAGGTATTAAACCCCCAGTGAACACTGTCCCCTTTCAAGTTGGTCCTGAGCATCGCCGACCCACTGTCGATTATGTGAGTCACTACATGAGCCGTCACACCAGGGCAGACAGCTGAAACCACTGTGAGACATAGCCCCACCCCACCATGATGTGAGCTACTGATGTCTTTGTAATGGAAACTTTGTTTCAACTCATCCAACCTCTGTGCACTTTTGGTATGTAACTGTAACTTTCTGTCACAAAGGCTGAGTGTTCAAAGATGGGAACACAAACTGAGCTGTGCTCACGATGGACTTTATGTATTTTCATTAATAGGCTGGTGCCTACATGACCGTGTGAAGAAAGAATAAAGAATAAAACTACTTTCTTTGCAACTGTGAGACATATTTCACCAACGCACGTACACACACACACGTACACACACACACACACAGTAATGTTTGGCCCGGTGAAATTGAATGCTGATTGAAAGTACACCTTAATTATCAACTGAAAGCAAAAGAGAAAAAAACCATAAGTAATATTTTTTAAAAGACATTACTGAGAAAATTTCCAGGTTTTGCCAACTGATGCATCAGTGGGTCTGAATTTCCAGTGCAGTATTTCATCAAGTATGTTAAACTACAGGGAAACACTTTGGAAGATTCTTCTGCTGCTCATTTTTCTCCAATTCCAACCAGAAGTGCCACCAAAAAGCAAAGGTTTCCCAGAAGGTACACAGCGATCAGGCAACTGTCACCTTTGACCTGACAAAAAAAGTAAAATTATATTAGAAATACTCCATCTTGTGGCAATCAGTGATTGCTTGCTTTTATATTTCTTTCAGCTTACCAATGCTGATTCCATTTGATCAGCAGTACCATCTGAAACGCAGAGAACAGTGAAATATTGCAGGGTACATTAACTGAAGTGAACTAAAGCAGTCAGCTATGTTTTTAATCGTTTTGTTTATACAGGTTGAGTTATGATATTAGTCCATCCATCTTCATCCGCTTTATCTACATAAAGGCTGGGTCGCGGGGGCAGCAGCCTAAGCAAAGAGGCCCAGACCTCCCTCTCCCCAGCCACCTCCTCTAGCTTATCCGGGGGAACTCCAAGGCGTTCCCAGGCCAGCCGAGAGATATAATCTCTCCAGCGTGTCCTGGGTCTGCCCCGGGGCCTCCTCCCGGTGGGACATGCCCGGAACACCTCACCCAGGAGGCATCCTTGTCAGATGCCCAAACCACCTCAGCTGGCTCCTTTCGATGTGGAGCAGCAGCGGCTCTACTCTGAGCCCCTCCCGGATGGCCGAACTTCTCACCCTATCTCTAAGGGAGAGGCCAGCCACCCTTCGGAGGAAGCTCATTTCTGCCGCTTGTATCCGCGATCTCGTTCTTTCGGTCACTACCCACAGCTCGTGGCCATAGGTGAGGGTAGGGACGTAGATCGACCGGTAAATTGAGAGCTTCACTTTTACACTCAGCTCCCTCTTCACCACGACGGACCGGTGCAGCGTCTGCATTACTGCAGCTACAGCCCCAATCCGTCTGTCGATCTCCGGCTCCCTTCTCCCATCACTCGCGAACAAGACCCCGAGATACTTGAACTCCTCCACTTGGGGCAGGAACTCATCCCCGACCCGGAGTGGGCACTCCACTATGATATTAGTTTTAAGCTTTAACAGAAGAAGAACAATTTGAAATCAATTTAAATAAAATTGAGTCGAGTTGAGTAGTTGTGGTGATTAAAAAAACCCCGTTCAGAACGATAACAATGTGCTGGAAATCTCGGTGTTCATCACTCCAAGCTCTATGTAAACATTTAGCCATGTCAAGTTGCCATTGGTCATGGAAAGTGTGTGTGTGGGGCACGGGGGGGTGGTAAAAATTTTTTTAAAAATCACCAAACATTAGCCAATTTTTGTAGACACAAAGAGGTTGTGATCATATTTTTGTAATAATTTGTGTGACTGAGCCACACATTGAGCCACAGCATTGTCACACACATACACGTGTCCAAAATTGGATCGTTTCAGTTGAGACAATTCAATGCAAGCTCTCTGATAACATTAGGTTGGTGGTGCATAAGCTGAGCCTTGGTGTATAGTATTCCCAGAGTATTTTCATGTATGCTGTTGCTGTACTTGAGCACAGTTAAAGTGTAACAGCTTTTGTTCCAGCACGCTACCATTGAGACGTTCTTACGCGTTTTCACTCATCAATTCATAAATATTATATATTTGATGCTACTGTATTATACAAAAAAAATCTTGTGATACAGTGCTGTTTATTTTACCCATCCAACCCCATTCTGAAGTGTACGGGGGTTATACTCTTCGCTCAGTCAGCTAAATGCTGCTGAACTGGTCAGGTGGCTCTTCACCGTGCAAATGGACTGTTGGGTCTAGATTGGTTTTTGTCATTAAAGTGTATCTGGGTAGTGATGATTGTTTCCTCCATCACTGAAATGCAGAAAAAAAAGGCTTACCTCTGTGTTTAACTATCCAATCATGGACCTCCAAAATGATGATGAAGAGAACTTCCCAGGCAAAGAAGCCACCCATCACTTTCATTAGCCACCCATCATCACTGTCAATCCTGTCCAGGCCTGTAAATATGGCTGCCACTGTGTGACACAAAGAAGCAGGCATTTTAAGACTAGCAGCATGGGTGACAGTGTGTCTGCTGTTGAAAATGTTAGCATATATACAAGATGGCAGAATGAAGTAAAACACAAGCTTACCAGCTATAGATTTTATTACCACTGCATTTAAAAAATGTGTCCAGTTGAACAGATACCTCCTGTCAAAGAAAAGGGAAGAACTATAAAATCATCAGCTTCTGAAGTTCTTGTCTTAAAAAAAAAAAAAAAAAAAGACAAAAAAAAAACAAAGACAAAAAAAACACAAAAAAACGAAAGACAAAAAAACGTTTATTTGCAAAAGTTTGAAATTTTAAAAACTTTTATGGATGGAAGTATGAATACAACTCTTAGGGTTATCAAATAACTTTATAACCTCACTTTGCCGAGTGAGCAGTGCATTTAGTCATTAAGCACGTACTGCCCCACTCCTTTGGTTTATCGTGTTTTCAAAATTTGTTAAATAATTGTAGAGAAAAAAAAGTGAGGCCATTTTTATTTTTTTTTTAAAATAATATGTGAACAGAGTATTCTTAAATGTGTATAGGCATGTTGTAGTATATTGAATAAACACACAGGTGGATACATACAGGTGATGTTGTGGTCCGCAGCGCAGCAAGGCCCCGATAGGCTGGATGAGTGAGAGGATCATAACCAGGCACCCCAACACTGGATGTGCTCCCTGGATACCAAACACATTAACACTAATCATGGGGCATAAATATCAGTCTGAGAGCTGAAACACAACTAAAGAGTGCTTAAAGAAAAAAAACACTTTGAAGAGGTATATTAATCTTGCCTGTGGATGCAACCTGCAGACTGGAGGAGCTGAGGATTGATCTATGGACCTTCTGTTAGACAGATGACTTGCTCTACTACCCAAGTGAAGGTAAAGCCTCCACAAATAACCCCAGAGTGAAAAGTACGAGAGTACCTTTGAGACTACCGTGAAAACTTAATCATTTCTAGATGTACCTCCCATGAGGGGCACTTCTGCTCCACTTGCCTTTTGTCTTAATGACTTGCAATATTGGCTTATAAATATGCACCAACTTTTTGTCATCTCCACAGTTTGCATTTTGTCCTTTAGGTTGTACATGGTGTCGCTATTCTCTTCTACAATCACATCACAACCAAAAGCTGGAGATGACCGTCCTCCTTCAGTCTGGTTTTGCCAAAGGGTCCTACTGTTGCACGGGAGTTGTTTCTGCACACCAAAGCCAAGGGGTGGAGGGGTCCATACATGGTTGGTATGGTTATCACATTCATATTAAGTTGAATTATATTAAACTCACTTGGCTCATCCTTCTAATGTAAAGCACCATGAGATGACTGTTTTATAAAAAACTAAAGTGAAACTAACTGGATGCAGCCCACAGATTCCATTTATCCCTCAAATTATTTCTTGAACCTGTTCATATGTGGATTGGTTGTCAAAAGGCATAATGTTTCTGCATCACTACTACAACTGGTAGAAGCAAGCTTTTGGTGATAGTGGGAAGGAAATATTCCCTTCTTTTCTGTTAGAAACCTCCAGCAGAGCCAGGCTCAGGTGATGCAGCCATCTGCTGCAACTGGTTGGAGGTGATGGGGAGACGCGACAGGCAAAATGTTACGGAAGAGAGCCAGAGAGTAACTAAGGATTAAATGCGAAACACACTCTTTGCACTTTCTAAGCAACAGGCCTTGCATAGGTAATGGTAAATGGCCTTTATTTGTATAGCGTTTTACTAGTCCCTAAGACCCCAAAGCGCTTTACACATCCAGTCATCCAC